GGGCGCAGCGGCGGGGGGGGGGGGGTGGGGGGGGGGCCGGGGGGGGGGGGGGGGGATGGAACCCGTGGGGCAGCAGGAGGGAATGGGGAGGGGGAAAGCCTGATCCAGCCCCCACAGAGCACCCCCCACCCCCAGACGGCACCCTGTGCCATGAGCACCACGGGTGTCACGGGTGCCACCATGGGCCCCAGGTGGCTGGGCTGGGGGGTGGCCCCGGGGGCACCCACCCCATGGGTAGTGGTAGGGTTTCTGGGGGGGGGGGGGTCCTACCTCTGGCAGAGAGCTTTTTGGTGTTGATGATCTTGGCGGCGTACTCATGGCCGGTGCAGAGCTTGACGCAGCGCCGGACCACCGAGAAAGCCCCCCTGGGGAGGGGGACAGGCTCAGCGCCCCCTGCCTGCCTCAGTGCCCCCTCCCCCCCCAAAACCAGGCCTGGGTGGGCTCCCACCCGTGACTCAGCACCCCGTGGCTGGGGGCTGCGCCAGCCGTGACTCAGCACCCGGGGGGAACATCCCTCACGTGGGGGGGGGGGGGCGACGCTGCTCGGCCCCCGCCCCAGGCACGCCGGAGACCTGTGGATCGGGGGTGCTGGGGGGTGCAGGGCAGGAGTGGGGGGGCTCGGTGGGGCGAGTGCGTGGCAGGGAGCCAGGGGCCAGCATCACGGAGGGGGTCGCGGGAAGGATCCAGCACCGGCAGCCCGTTGCCATGGGGACGGCGGGTGGCCCGGATGGCAGCGGTGGCCATGGTGGTGATGGTGGTGGCGATGGTGGTGGTGGCGATGGTGGCAGCGGGCACAGGGCCCGGCTGCGGACCCGGCGGGGCACGGGGAGCCAGCAGCCACCGGCACCCTCGGGACAGGGACAGGGACGGGGACGGGGACAGCGTGGCCATGCCCATGCCAGGCAGCGGCACCCGCTCGCCCGCAGCCCCGCCAAGTGCCACCACCACCTGTCCCCCTTCCAGGACCGACATCCCTGCCCATCCCCTGCCTGTCCCCTGCCTGCCAGGGTCCCCAGGGGCAGCGGGTGTCCCCGCTCTGCCTGTGCTCAGCAGCACCCATGCCTGGGGGGGGGAGGGGGTCAGGGCAGTGTCTGGCGGGGGGCACAGAGGGGACCCTCGTAGGGCATATCCCCCCGAGCTGGGCTGGGGACACGGCAGAGCCCGGCAGCACCCCGGCCCCGCCGTGCCGAGGGTCCTGTGGGGGCACCGGGGGGGGGGGGGGGCAGGCCATCCCCTGCCACCACACCGGGTCCCCACATCCCGGGACACCGAGGGCCCTGCACTGGCTGGGACAGTGGGGATCCTGCCACCGCCAGGGGACAAAGGGGGACTCCCCGGGGACTGGCACTCCCGGTCCCCCCCCTCCATCGCCTCCCCACGTGGCCCCAGGGACGGGGGACACGGTGGGTGTCAGGTCCTGCGGGAGGGACGAATGTCATGGACCCCCCAGCTGTGCCTCAGTTTCCCCACCGGCTGGGGGCAGATGTCCCCGACAGTCCCGGCATGGGCGGGGGGGGCACAGACACACGCCGTGGCTGGCGGGTGACACGGAGGGATGGCGGGGTGGGGGAGAGACCACGTTGCCGTGGCAACCAGGACAGGCTGGATTTGGGGGAAAGCAAGGGAATAGCCCCCGATGGCACCACGTCATCCCCCCCATGGGGACTATGTCTACCCCTGCAAAATGTCCCCCCACTATAGCGGGGGGCCCCTCCCTCCCCCCCCAAGGCCCGCCCCCCCCCTCCC